CCAGTCTCTGTAATAGTTTTTTGTAGGGCATTGTCATAGGATTAAATCTAATTTTTTTATCATCCATTTTACAATTTTTTTAATTATTCTCTAAGTGCATTTACATTTAAAAAAAGGTGTGAGGTATCATGTTTCTTAATAAACTTGTACCAAACTTCTAAAACCATTCAAAATATTTTTAATTTTATTTTGTGTGAAAATTCTAGAGGACATAATTTTTATATTCTGTAATTCTAAACTAAATTTAATCACTCTATTCTAGTCTCTGTAATGTTGAAGCGAGAGTGCTAAGGCAATGGAGATTCCAAGTCTTCCATTGTTTTAGTGTTCTCTTTTTAGCGTTATTTGGGATTAGGTTCCTTTCAAAAATTCTAGAAGACATAATTTTTATATTCTGTAATTTTAAACTAAATTTCAAACAACAATAATCACTCTACTCCAGTCTCTGTAACAGTTTTCTGTAGGGCATTGTCATAGGATTAAATCTAATTTTTTATCATCCATTTTACAATTTTTTAATTATTCTCTAAGTGCATTTACATTTAAAAAAGGTGTGAGGTATCATGTTTCTTAATAAACTTGTACCAAACTTGTAAAACCATTCAAAATATTTTTAATTTTGTTTTGTGAAAAATTCTAGAGGACATAATTTTTATATTCTGTAATTCTAAACTAAATTTAATCACTCTATTCTAGTCTCTGTAATGTTGAAGCGAGAGTGCTAAGGTAATGGAGATTCCAAGTCTTCCATTGTTTTAGTGTTCTCTTTTTAGCGTAATTTGGGATTAGGTTCCTTTCAAAAAATTCTAGAAGACATAATTTTTATATTCTGTAATTTTAAACTAAATTTCAAACCACAATAATCACGCTATTCCAGTCTCTGTAACAGTTTTCTGTAGGGCATTGTCATAGGATTAAATCTATTTTTTTTATCATCCATTTTACAATTTTTTTAATTATTCTCTAAGTGCATTTACATTTAAAAAAAGGTGTGAGGTATCATGTTTCTTAATAAACTTGTACCAAACTTCTAAAACCATTCAAAATATTTTTAATTTTGTTTTGTGAAAAATTCTAGAGGACATAATTTTTATATTCTGTAATTCTAAACTAAATTTAATCACTCTATTCTAGTCTCTGTAATGTTGAAGCGAGAGTGCTAAGGCAATGGAGATTCCAAGCCTTCCATTGTTTTAGTGTTCTCTTTTTAGCGTTATTTGGGATTAGGTTCCTTTCAAAAAATTCTAGAAGACATAATTTTTATATTCTGTAATTTCAAACTAAATTTCAAAAAACAATAATCACTCTACTCCAGTCTCTGTTTTCTGTAGGGCATTGTCATAGGATTAAATCTAATTTTTTTATCATCCATTTTACAATTTTTTTAATTATTCTCTAAGTGCATTTACATTTAAAAAAAGGTGTGAGGTATCATGTTTCTTAATAAACTTGTACCAAACTTCTAAAACCATTCAAAATATTTTTAATTTTATTTTGTGAAAAATTCTAGAGGACATAATTTTTATATTCTGTAATTCTAAACTAAATTTAATCACTCTATTCTAGTCTCTGTAATGTTGAAGCGAGAGTGCTAAGGCAATGGAGATTCCAAGTCTTCGATTGTTTTAGTGTTCTCTTTTTAGCGTAATTTGGGATTAGGTTCCTTTCAAAAAATTCTAGAAGACATAATTTTTATATTCTGTAATTTTAAACTAAATTTCAAACAACAATAATCACTCTATTCCAGTCTCTGTAACAGTTTTCTGTAGGGCATTGTCATAGGATTAAATCTGTTTTTTTTCATCCATTTTACAATTTTTTTAATTATTCTCTAATTGCATTTACATTTAAAAAAGTGTGAGGTATCATGTTTCTTAATAAACTTGTACCAAACTTGTAAAACCATTCAAAATATTTTTAATTTTATTTTGTGAAAAATTCTAGAGGACATAATTTTTATATTCTGTAATTCTAAACTAAATTTAATCACTCTATTCTAGTCTCTGTGATGTTGAAGCGAGAGTGCTAAGGCAATGGAGATTCCAAGTCTTCCATTGTTTTAGTGTTCTCTTTTTAGCGTTATTTGGGATTAGGTTCCTTTCAAAAAATTCTAGAAGACATAATTTTTATATTCTGTAATTTTAAACTAAATTTCAAACAACAATAATCACTCTATTCCAGTCTCTGTAACAGTTTTCTGTAGGGCATTGTCATAGGATTAAATCTGTTTTTCTTTATCATCTTACAATTTTTTTAATTATTCTCTAATTGCATTTACATTTAAAAAAAGGTGTGAGGTATCATGTTTCTTAATAAACTTGTACCAAACTTGTAAAACCATTCAAAATATTTTTAATTTTATTTAGTGAAAAATTCTAGAGGACATAATTTTTATATTCTCTAATTCTAAACTAAATTTAATCACTCTATTCTAGTCTCTGTAATGTTGAAGCGAGAGTGCTAAGGCAATGGAGATTCCAAGTCTTCCATTGTGTTAGTGTTCTCTTTTTAGCGTTATTTGGGATTAGGTTCCTTTCAAAAAATTCTAGAAGACATAATTTTTATATTCTGTAATTTTAAACTAAATTTCAAACAACAATAATCACTCTATTCTAGTCTCTGTAATAGTTTTCTGTGGGGCATTGTCATAGGATTAAATCTAATTTATAATTATATTTGTATTTTTGTAGTCATTATATCATTTCAGCAACTAATACCCTTGATTATGGATAATTAAGGGTATTAGTATATGGACAAGGCTAATACTTTTTTCTTTTTTGTATCAAACTTCTAGGGAATATTTATCGGAAATCTGAATCCAATTGAATTTTCCTTCACCATAAAGTCAAGAAAATCTTGGAAAATGGCAAAACAAATAAATATATGGGCATGGATAGGAGTAGAAGATAAAATTTTAAGATATTAGTAGCAGCTGCCAAATTATTTTGGTTTTTGATATAGCTATGGTGAGAACAGCCAATTATTACTTTATATTATTTTTTAACCTTTATTGTTACCTTTTCTTAAGCTTTTTTATGAGTATATTATTAAACTCTTCAACAAATTAATGTTTATTTAATATTTCAGCTTAAAACTATGTTGGACGTTCCTTCTTGCAAGAATTTGAAGATGGGAGGCAGTTGTGAAGCGATGTACTTACAAAAAATAGGTAAGCATTTCGTTAACTTATCTTGTATCTCCTAGACTCTCTGGTTTCTCTATTATTTATTAATATTTTTCTTTTAATTTTAGATCATTTTTTTTTGGAAATGTATCCAAGTTGTTTAATTTCTAGTGTTTTACCGGTAACAATAGTTTTGATTATATGTATTGAAGTACTTACCCTATGGCGAAGTCTTAGAATATTATAAATACCAGTTTGATTATTTTTAAGACATAAATTATAGTGACAAAGCTTGGTATATAGGTAACAAAGTACCTGTTTCTTATCCACTTAAAATTCCAAAAAAAGAAGAAACTTGCACAAACCTCTTTTAATTTTCCGAATTTTTAATAAAGCACTTTTTAAACGGAGCATCAATCTAGAGTTTTATTTCTGTTTAATTAAAGTAATAATATAATATTGTAAATAATATACAGGGTGTTTCAAAAAATATATGCCATCTCTCTTAGAGAGATTCCTCTCATAAAAATAAGATTTATTGTGTTGTAAATAAGATTTATTAGTGTCGACATGTTTACCAGGGTCGTGCATATGGGTTATCACTGGAATATTTTTCTAAATGAATCATGTACGCCACTGGTTTTTTTCTCTCTTGTTAGCGAAATAGTGTAAGCAGTTTATTGCCGATTAAAAGTTATCTCTTGATATTTTGTCGAATTCGGCCTCCTTGATGAGATAAACGCAATTTTATTAATTTGCCGTGACCCAAGTCTAATAGCAACCTTAAAAAAATAATATCATTAACTTGTGAAAGTTTTAAATGACTACTCATTGATTCCTCATCAAAAAATATGAAAAAAAGTTCTTATAAACGTGGGTATGGAAATGCATAGTTTTAGAGTTACAGGATGTAAAATCTGTCTAAAATTAGGTTTTTTGTAATGATTTTAAATACCATTATTTTTTTATTTGAAATTGTTGTAGGTTTGACTAATAGTAATAATATTTAATAATTAATTAGGTAAATAAATTATATAATTTATTAATTTTATTTTAATTTTAATTTTATTAATTGTGATTAATAAATCGAGGAGGCCGAATTCGACAAAAAATCAAGAGATATCTTTTAATTGGCAGCCTACACAATTTTGATATCAACAGAAAAAAGTCAGTGGCGTACATGCTTCTTTAAGGAAAGAATAGAGGAAGAAAAATAATCCTATGATACCCCATATGCATGGCATATGTTTTTTTGAAACACCCTGTATATTGATAGCACTGAAAAAACATAATTTGATTTCTACTGAAAATAATTCCAAAGTAACTTGCAATCTGGCAACATCGAAGAAATGCGTATGCGTCATAGACTTAGAATAAAATATAGACTACACTATTTACATTTAAGCGCGGTCCAATATTAATTTTTGTAAACATGTTTACTCCTGGGTGCAGCTGACCTCGGCCGTCTGAGTCTTTCGCCTCCAGCCTATGTTGTCACGTCTAAAATATTATTAATATTTTTTTTGTTGTTATACACATATATTGAGATATTAAAACTGTATTTTAATAAAGTAGTGTTTAATAGTAGAAAGATGTATTAAATAGTCCCTATACTACTAAATTATAAGTCGGAGACTATTTAAAAATGACAAATTCTTTACAATTTGGCAACACCCATCAATCGCCGGGTCGCCTGTTCATTCTTTATTCTCTCGTAGTAGAGCCATAGTAGAGTAAAGCACGTGTCGTAAAACCTTGTTGTCACAGTTTCGCCATGGCTATTTTATTGTTTTTATTGGATGTTTTGATTTTGTATTTTTGGATTCGATTTTCTTAGTGTGTAGTGTCGGTTTAGTGTTTATTTTGATTACTTATTTTTAAAAACTATAAAACATGGTTCGTCAGTGCCAAATTTGTAAGAAATTGGACTATTTAAGTCCTGGAACAACATTCCACAGGTAAGTCAAATTTACTATTTTGGCGTCAGTGGCGTTGTAGAAAGGCGCTTATTTAGATAATAATTTAGTAAATTATAAACCCTGGAAAATCTGTATTTTTTATATTTATCATTTACGTAAAGGTTCTTACTAACCTCGTTATTAATATAACGAGTAGATACATTATTAAGTACATAAGAAGTAGACACATTATTTTCTTGGGCATTGGTTAATTTAATGCTTTTTTTTATGAAAAATGTGTTTCTTTTTATTCTAAAACCATCCTTAGAATCTAAAATAACATACAGGAATTCCAGAATGATATTCCATTATGAAACAACAATTTTTAAGGCTTATTATAAACTATAAACAATCGAGAAAGTCGAAAAAATTACAAGCTACCAAACATTTTAAAATACCAAACATTCCTTATTTTTTTTCAAGACTAAAATATTTTACAAACATTACTTTTTCCCTATAGTTTCACATCAGGTATAGAAATAACTACGTTTTTATGATAGGGTCACCATTATGATAACAAAAATGACGAACAATGGTCCAGAAATGTAAACAAGTACATATTTTTTGTAAATATTTTTCTTACCGCTTGCATTTTTGTCCATTATTATTTCACAAATTATACAGGGTTATGTAAACCAGGTAGATATTTCGTTTTTTTTATATTAAACAAAGATAAAATAAATATGCCATTTTAAAATTTATCCAGTACTTACCTAGAGTTTTTTCTTTTTTTTTCTCGACTGTTAATCTATTATTAATTTGTAATACCGTATGATCGAAAAAAACGGCGTCCAGTTGGCTTGGAAAAAACCATCGATACATACTCCATATAATTTTACATATAAAATGACAGCGATCTTCATTTCATAGCCATCGCTGACGCCGTTTTTTTTCGATTATAAGGTATAATTTTCATTTTTTCTTTTATAATGTAATATCACTTAAGTAATATCACATATAATCTGAAGATAGTTTTAGAATTAACCAAAACGTAAATCTTTAATAAAACAATCTGTTATTATTTGCCATATATGTATGTATCCAAGAAAATAATTTACATATTATTATTATATGTTTTACTGTTTTTTATCTTTATTTGAAACTCAGAAATGTTGCATTGGCTTTCTAAAAAAATGAACTTGTAAGTTTTTAAAATGCTTCGTTTCGGAGATACAGGGTGTAGAAGTTTCATTTTTATTTCGATTTTTTTCCAAATAATTTCTGAAGTGACGTCAATATTTGGACGAAAATTGGCGTTTGGGAGTTTTTTGACATGAAAAATTAGATTTAGATGTCAATTTGACTTTTACTAATAGGGGGCGCCACCTACATATTTTTTAAGTTATTTGAAGAGTAATACTTTTTGTCTGTATCTATATAAAACTACTGAGAAAAATTTACATTTCCAACGTTTTTTACTTAATAAGGTCTCTTGTTGACACTCGCCACAAGTATAGTTCTCAAGATATTTGGAAACGAATTAATCAATACATTCTTCATAAATTATTTGGAAAAAAGCGAAATAAAAATGAAATTTCTACACTCTGTATCTCTGAAACGAAGCATTTTAGGACATAAATTTATACTATTTTTTTTACTGATTTTATTTGCAGATTATGCTGCCAAAGTTTCCTGAATACAATTCCGACCACTCTGTATATCAAGATATCCCCCATTACGTACTAGTTTTTCTTAATAATTTTCTATACATTTTCCAACGCCAAGATGTACCAAGCGCATACAAATACATCAAGCTTCAAACAAGCTTGCACGTTGACAGTAATACCTACAGTAATATTGTATTATATTAATGTAATATTTTTGAACCAATGTTCAATATTACTGTAGTAATACTGTTTATACTCATGCCTTTTATATTTGTTTGAATTTGGTGCATATTTCCATTGAATAAAGTATAGTCACCATTACCATTATTATACTTACTCTATAATAAAGACAGTAACGAGTTAAATAAATGTAGTTTTCATTTTATTCACTTCCTAAAAGCTTGCTTTAATGGAACAGATTCCTGTTTTTTCTAATTTACATAATAAGACATCACTTTTACCGGAAAAAAAAATTAAACAATTATAAAGTTTTTTCTCTTTCTGTTCTATTATATCTATAGAATAGATCCTGTTTTGATTAATATTAGAGTTGTAAATGTTTGACTAAAATTAATATTTTATTAAATTAATAATTTATCATCAATTTCAAAAATTAAATAATTTCGATTATTAAAATTTCTTCTATAACACGTACTTTATTATTTTTATCGTTTTTAGACTCTAAGACGTATTTTTTCTAAGTCCTAAACTTTGCTTTATATTAAACTATTTTCTTTATCCTAAATCTTAATAATATAAAAAAGTTTAAATACGATATATTTTTAATTGAATTATAGCTTCATTAAAATTAAAAAAATACCCGCCTATGATACGGAGAGTGCAGGTGCACTGAAGAAACAAAAGACAGTGTTGCGTTGGGCGGCAGAGCCGTCAGGAAACGACCGTTACGACGGAGACAGCCTATCTATCGCTCGTGTCGCACTCGTTAGAGCCAAAAACAATAACACAACAATAACAAGACGTTGTCTGTCCGCATCTTCCAGCTATTTATGAATGAGATGCTCAGTCTATATTTTATTCTAAGTCTATGGTATGCGTAGTATCTGTGACTATTTGCAGCAAATAATCCCTTAAGGTCAGCTACCGGATCCACAGCTTTACCAAAATATAAAGCTTCAGAAACATTTCTTCATTTCTATGAGTTTGTATTAGGAGGCTTTAAAAGTCCTCCATAGTTTGTATTTTTTATTTGCTTCTTATAAAGCAGAGAAAAAGAGTCCTTTCAGAGGCCACGCCTTTAATACTTGTGTATTACTGGTTGCGTACCCTTATACAATATATTTATGTTATATCGTGGGTTTTCAAAGCAAAACACACGTCCAAAAACGAATAAATACATTTTTAATGAACTAATACAGCGCCATTATGGATTTAAAAAAAATAAAAGCAATTTAAAAATTAAACTAATAATTCTTAGAAGGTATAGTAGATTTTTCCTGGATATAGATCTATATTCTGGAAGAAATCTAATCAAATGATATAAATAAATTAAAATTAAAATAATTGGACTTAGTGTGTTTTGCTTGTAAACCGACGATATGACAAGTACGTTTAAATCTATGACTAAAGAATATAAGGACATGTCACATGTAACGCCCATATACGGACTGCAGCAGAATTTGTCACCTTAGACACCATTCTTTTGATGGCAAACAATGAGTCATCAGCTGGCCACCAGCGACCATTTTAGCGATTTTTAATAGTTTGTGTGCAGTGAACTTTGTATAAACTTTATTACAATGATGATTAGTTGTTCAGCTTTCAAGTGTAAAAGCAGCAGCGATAAGAAAGAGCCAGGAGTTACGGTTCATAGGTAAATAAACAGTCTACCCCACCTTTTTAGCTGTTTTCCACCGTTTTCTTATTGAATTCGATAATTATTTTTCTGATTTTATATGTACTTAATGTGTGCTATACGTCGATACTAGTTTTGTACCTTTTGTTAACATTTTAATACGTTTTTTTCGTAATTAATTAGTATGATACCAACGTATACACCATAGGCGTAGTCAACACAATTATCAAAAAATATAAATATCTCTTCAAAGAGCTAAGGTAAAAAAAAATATGTGCCACGGCACTGTTTGGTGACATGGTAACAATTTGCTCTCGGGTGTTATTTGTCCTTGAATTCTTTAGTCATTGGTTTAAATAAAATATACGGAGGGTACCGCTTAAATTCCTGTCCCGATATTGAAGGATGGCTATAGAATTTCAATGCATTTTCTACATAAGTCTATCCTTGTGTTGTAGGAGGTTTGATTAAACAAGGATGAACTTATGTCTTGAAACCATTCAGACTCGATTTTCTGCCCTTCAATACTGGGACGTAAATCCTCTCATTGCTCTTATGGGGAGGCCGTCGTATATTTTATTTAAACGTATTTGTTATATGACCACGTATACATAAGAGTATTTTTATAGTTGCCTATTTTTTACTTTTAAAATTATTTATCTTTCACAATGATTGTAATATTTTCTATTGCTTTTAAACAAAGATATCTATCAGAAATAAGCGTTCTGGGCCTAGATCATATATACTTACGTGGATACATCAACGTCATAAGTTTGGCATTACAAAATATGTCTCCAACATCACGACATGCCATTTTCAAACCTTCTTTATTGCACTTGTTGAAACGTTTAATAGGTTTGTCTTTTTCGAGGACCTTACTTTGCTCATGCGCATTAAAAGTTGCACGTATTTCCAAAATAATCACAATTTTATACGGTTTAAAAAGTACAAATTATACAGGGTGGGTCAAATTCGACGCTTTTAAATGGAAACACCCTTTTCTATAGGAGATAGGCAAAAACTAATATCGGTGTCTGGAGCTCAATTTTTGTCGAAAACATGATGGTGGAAACCGCATATCGATATCTGTTACCGTTTCGGAGCTACGGGGTGTTTTTCTAAAATATGCATTTTTAACAAATCGCTGTAACTTTTTTGCTGTGGAAAATTTTATATTTTTATGAAAACATTTCCAAAGCACCTTTATACGTAGAATTTAGTGGTTTAAGTATAATTTTTTAAAATGAATAATTTAAGAATTATCAACAGAAAATTTGATTTTTTATATGGGACACCCTGTATATTTTTAATTTATTGAAAATAATTTAAAATTACCTTTTCAAAAATATAACACACTGGATATTTTGCTCGATTCCTCTTCGAGATATAGAGTATAATAAAAATTCGCCCGCTTTAAATAAGTAGGCTTTGAACGGCACCGGCTGTAATACAAAAAAATTCTAGCTGTGAGCATCAGTTAAAACGAAAATAACATTTGCTATGAGAGATGCAGAATTTTATAACAATTTAAAATATATTTAACCAACATCAACACATTTAAACTATATCTAATAACAATAAAAATAAATAGCAAACCAAGACATGAGATTTTACTACAGGTGTTCGACATATCGACCGTCTTCTGTTATGGACAGACGGGGGTAGTGTATATACAGGGTGGAATAAGAAATGCAGGTAGATTCTGACTTAAAAAACTTACCGGAGCATTGAGGCAAGGGCAGGTACAATGGTGGATAGACCTGACGCTCTCCCTCGATACTGAGCGTCCAATTTTCAGTGTGGACGCCGGTGTGGTGGACGTTCTTCGCTCCAGAATGCCCCTGGTATTCGTTAAGGAGGAATATGGTGCCAGCTGGAAGGCATTGGATGATTGGGCGGTTTTTGAACATTTCTCGCGGAATTCATTAAACCAGTGGGGGTGAAAGATACCCTTTCATAACTGCTAAGTATTTCTAATTCTTGTCTAGATTATACGGAAGAATAAGAAACCTTTATTCTTCCGCAAATATATCCAAAGGATTAGATCCATGGGCACTAAGTCAGGCGGCCTCGGCGGCCAACGGCTGGGATCTTGGTTAGCTATCCAATTATTCTTGAAATTGGCTGCAAAAATTTGCTGATAACTTCAGCGTTCAAAGGCGGTGCGTCGTCTTGCTGGGAAAATATGTTTTCGAGTTCCATTAAGGACTTATCATCAATAAGGGGTCCAAAACCTACTAGTTAAAAGTGGCGAACTTTTAAAAATTCTGTATTTCGAAGGAGATTATAACAAAATATCAAGTGTGCTATATTTTTGAAAAGGTAATTTTAAGTTATTTTCAGTTAATTAAAAATTTAGAGGATGTCCCAAATAAAAAATCAATTTTTCTGTTGATAACTCTTAAATTATTAAGTTAAAAAAAAATACTAAAACCATTAAATTCTACGTAAAAAGGTGCTTTGGAAATGTTTTCAGAGAAATACAAAATTTTCCATAGCAAAAAAGTTACAACGATTTGTTAAAAATCAACATTTATGAAAAACACCCCGTAACTCCGAAACGCTAACAGATATTGATGTGCGGTTTTCATCATCATGTTTTTGATGAAAATTGAGTTCCAGACACCGATATTAGTTTTCGTCTATCTCCTATAGAAAAGGGTGTTTCCATCTAAAAGCGTCGAATTTGACCCACCCTGTACATTGTTATGGAAACCAACTTTTCATTGTCATTATATTGTCATAATCTTATTTCCATTGTGTAACTACACTTGTTTTTTGCGTTTTTTTTATTTTAAAAATTGCATTAATTACTCTTTTACCGATCGCTTTTATACAGGGTGTCCCAGAAATAAGTACAACTATTTTAAGGGGTGGTAGATCTCGATAAAAGAAACATATTTTCTCTTTCTTATTTTCACGTTTTTCAAATAAGTCCAAAATAACGGACTTATTTTACTTTGAAAATTTCCAAAGAAAAATGATTTTTTGGTCAAATTTTGAGTACCACTGGATCTTTTCGGGATTGCCTTATTTGTAAATTTAATCTACTACCTATGTTGCTATATTATCAAGAAATATGTTTAACTAAAAACAATTCCAAAATTTTTTTCTAAAAATTACGAATTTTCAAAAAAAAAAATTTTCGCGAAAAAAAACTCAGGAGTGTTTCTAGGGTTGAACTATACTACAAAATACTTGCACTTATTTCTGGGGCACCTTGTATAGCCAAGGATGCAAGTGTGTTCAGTGAGAAGTTAATTTTAAGTTTGTGTAATTATATTTCTATTTTTTTCGTTGGACTTTCTAAATACTCGTAAAAATGCCTAGAAAGTGTTTGGTGTGTGGAAGTTCTAGTATAAAGGTCTCCGAATTATCTTTTCATAGGCAAGTAAAGTATTCAGTTGTTCTTTTATTTATATTAAACCACATGCATACTTTCTGGTTAGATTTCCTAATATTGCTATTCGTACGGCGCGCGGCGTGGCTAAATGTATTTTTAGTTGTTCAAATATATGCATTTTAGAAATTAAATTTTTAAAATTAATG